GCCTTGTCCCGGCGGGGCAGCTCCAGGCCGTAGAGAGGGCGGGGCAGGGGCAGCTGTTTGATGACCTGCACGGAGCTGGCTGGGAAAACGCCGCTGATGCCGTTGAGCTCGCCCAGGTACCAGTTCTCATCCAGCTGCCGCAGCAGTGTGATGGTGTCCCCCTTGTTGAAGCGCAGCTCCCCGGGGTTGTGCCCACGGTAAGTGTACAGGGCCCTGGCTCGTGGCACCTGGGGGACAAGAAACAGCCCCTGCAGTTGGTCCGACACAGACAGAATTTCCCGAAAGCATTTGTAATTAATGGGAAAAAATGTGGAGGTCCAAGGCTTAAGCATGCATTTGTTAGGATTAACTACCCACATCCTTTCTTGATGGGTTTTACTAATTAASACAAGCTCCCAAATACTTATGCTAAGTTTGTATCAAGAGGAAAAGCAGGCTGGACTTGTTTAAGAGTATTAAGAAACAGTTAAGGCCTTAAACTAGTCTTTCCATGGGATCTTATTGCCTGCTATAAGGGGTGCTCCAACACAATGTCTGTTTGAATGACCCAAGTATTTCTGTTTCAGGAGGACTGGAGGTCACAGCCATCATTCAGCCATGGTGGCTGTCACCTGCCAGGAGAACACAGCAGAGCAAGGTGAGTGCAGGTTCTGTGCTCCTGTGCTTCGATCCCTGCTTTAGCCCTTGACTTTGGCTTTATTTCAGCCTTTTCATGAGTGACAGGAAGAGGTGCCTTAATGCTATTGTTGTTGTAGTKTAACATGACATAGAAGAAATAGCCCCAAACCAGCAGAGACGCAGGGATTTACCATCCTCACTCTCACTACCATGAATTCCAGGGTTCCCCTCAAGCACTGCTGTGCAGAGCCGTGCCTGTACCTGAACCCTGTGGAGCTGTGTGCTCCTGCAGCGAGGGCCCCCGGGCACAGAACAGCCCTACATTTGAAGGGGATACCCAAATGCTGAGCTCCACTCCTGCCTTAGATGGGGGCACAGCTGTGTGAGCTCCCTGCTGGAAGCTGGGATTATCTCCAGCTCTAGAGCCTTGATTAGCTTTAGCAGAAGTGCCCAGGACAGCAGGGCCAAGAGCTGTTCAGCTGCTTCCTCRCTGCTCTCTGCATGTCTGGATTGTCCTTCTGCTCTCTTTGGTGGCTGCCAAGAGCTGTGGCCTGCTGAGGACTGTGCCCTGCAGTTTCTCCATGCCACAGTCACCCCCTCCCACTCATCTCAGGATGGTACTTCTGTACCAGTGATGCATTACAGCTTTTCCTGCCTTTCACTGTGCATTTCCTCTAATCCACCCATGCTGATGATCAGGGGTCAGGCAGGACTCCTGCAGAGCCCCTCTCTCCCAACCACTTCTGGCAGGTCAGGAAGGCAGAAGTGAGAAACTCAACATTGGTTTCCAGAAGTGTGGAAAAGATGGAATTTCCCATGTAAATTGTTAAATATTTGGAAAGAGGACATCTTCCAGCATCCTTAAACCCTGATGCCTGGTAGGGAAAAGGAACCAAGAAGAGAAAAAATTCATGTACTTCTTTAGCTTCAAAGCCTTTGAAATGGGAAGCAATTAGTTTAATGTCTAGTTCTAATTAAGTCATTCTGTCTCTTTAATTTGTGCTCACAGCAAACTCACGTGCTTGGCTCCGCGACACTGACAGCACATCACTGGGAAAAAAGGAATGGGGAAAGTGAGGCTTGGGCCAGTTCTGGTCTCCATCAGATCAAGGGAAAACAGGAATCATGATTGTGCCAGAGCCATGGAGACTCCTCACAAACACACCCCTGACAYATGTGCATTCCCATGAGAAGAATGTACTATAGACACAGAGAACACAGACAGCATTTCCCCTTCAGAACCACTCAGGGACACACTCGCTGGTGTTACACAAGGATGAGAAGCACAGACCTTGGATTGCCTCAGGAGCAAGCAGAAAACAAACAGGACTCTCACAAAGTGAGGGAACAGGGCTTGGGAAGGAGGAGCAGCAGTGTCTGGGATATGAGGGAACAGCAGGATACAGCAGAACATTAAAGGCAGCATGAACAAGTTATGGAAATATATTAAAAATAAGAGAAACTCCAAAATGAAATGCATACCTGGTGCTAACTGGGAACAGGCAGCAAGCAATGGAGTGCTGAGAGTCTGGAATATTCTTTCTTCAGCAGGCAAAGGGATGAGASAGCAGGGCAGACTGGGATAAATACCCCAAAACCAGGTGGGACAGGTGTGTTTGTGGTGTTAGGGCTGGCTGAGCACATCCCTSTGCTTGGATGCATGGATGGTTGGATGAATGGGCTCTTTCTTCCTCTAACCACACACACAACCTTCAGCTCTTCACCTCCTCTTTAACCCTTTCCTCACACTTTTCTACCCTTTCAAATCTCTTCCAGTCAAGTCACCTTTTTCCAAAGTCTGCCATTTTTACTATTTTATTTTTTTTTTAAAAATTTTGTTTGGCTGCTCAGATACTAAGCCAAAAATATCCCATCAATATCCCAACTTCATTTAAGACATAAACTAAGCTGTTACTTACCCACAGGGAGCAGCTAATGTGGTTTTTACTGTACAGACCTGTCACAAAATAAACCTGCAAGCTGAAGATTTCAGACAGGCATGCAGAGTCCCTGTTTCTTAACATTTTTATAGGGTGTAGGAAAGACAAAGCAGAACAAGTGAACCATCCTGTGGCAGCCCCAAGGCAGTGCTGGAGCTGGGGTTGGGCAGCACAGACCCTGTGGGTGGGTGCTGGTCCCACATTGGGGTCCTGCAGGTCTGATCTGATCCCTGTCTCAGCTTGGGCTGATTCCTGTCCACTCCTGGCTGTCCCAGATCTCTGCAAGGGATGTGTTTTGMTTTATTTAAAGTAGGTTAATTGCAAAAGCAGAAACTGGGTGCTAATTAACCTGGCAATAGAGACAAGGAGAGCCTGGAGGTGGCTTCTCTGGGCCAAGGGCAGAGGGAGAGGYTTTCTCTCAGCGTGGTCCTGGCAGTGAGGAGGAAGGACCTGCTTTGTTTTGATGGACACTTCTCCCGTTAGAATGTCCAGCTGCTTTTAGTTAATCCAGAGCAGCATTTCATTTTAGCAGGGTAGTGGTGGCAGCAAAATGTTCAGCCAAGCATTGCACACACAGGCTGGTCCCTAGTGCAGGCTTGGCACCTGCCTGAACATCCCACTGGGAAAGCACTGCGAGCAGCTCGGAGAAAAACTCACCTAAAGGTTGCTGAAAATTTGTGTAGAGTATTTCTGCCTAGTAGCAGAGAGAGAAAAACTGCAGTGGAAAAAAAAAAAACAAACCATTTTCTGGGTGGCTGTAACTTTTTTCAATGCTGCCCAATTTTTTCTGCTTTTCCTCTGTTTTTTCCTTCACCATGCCTGAGTGAGACCCAGGAAGTGCTGGAGGATCTCAGAGAAGTGAACCCCAGGTATCCCTGGCCATGGGGGTGCCTGCAGAGAGTGGGAGAGCCCTGGGGAGAGAAGGCAGAGGTAATGCCAGTGTGGAGCCAGAATCCCCTTAGATCAGCACCATCCCTGGGCGAGACACTTTTCTCTCCTTGGCCACTCTGCCAGCAGGGATGGTCATGGCTGATGCACCTCAACTCCTTGTCCCCATTCTCAGTGGATTCAAGGCTGATAAGGGAAAAAATATTTTATTTTTTTCATTATTTTTGGCATTTGGCATCAGTTGTGCTGGGCAGCCATCCAATGCCTCTGAGTCTCCCTCYGCAGAAAATAAAGAAGATTAAAAATAAGTACATGTRTGTGAGAAAGCAATTCGGGGCATCWCTTCCTAGCAGAGAAATGCACTCTGTAATTATCTGAAATGAGCTAGTTTTAACTGCTGACGATGGGCAGCAGGGGACTGATGTAAGACCTSTACTCAGAGCACAGGGATTTCCAAAGCAGAGAGGGAGAAGCAGCGTGTGAGAGTGGCTGGGGGGGATCACTGGGAGCAGAGCTTTGGGGAGCCAGGGAAGAGGAGAGGCTGCTGATGGAAGCTGGGAATGCCCACAAACCTTGTCCCAAGCTTGTCCCTTTACAAGCAGCCCGGAAGCAGCCCTGGGCACTGCCASAGGAGATGGAGCTGAGCCTGGCTACCCGGGCAGGGTGAGGCCGTGTCTGTGCTGGGCTCTGTCACACACAGMTGGACACGCTGGATGGGATCCTCCTGTCCCCAGTGCTCTGACCTCACAACAYCACTGACTGTGCAGATGGACATGTGGGATGTGTGATCCCAGGGACAGCTCATTGCTCCACTGTCCAGGGCTGTTCCTTCTGATTACTGCCAGTACCTGACACAGCACGGGAGCTGACCCCAAACCTGGGCAGGGGTCTGCCCACTCCAGCACTGGGGCTGCTGCTGCAGGTGGATCAGGAATGGGACCAGATGGCCTTGGACTGGTGTTTTCCCAGCTTTGATTYTCTGAACCCCCATGCAGGGAATGCCCTGTGCCTGCGCAGCAAATCCCAAGGGACTGATCCCAATCTAGGTTTCATGGGAATCGTCCCACAGGGTGCCTGTCCTTTCAATAGCCTGGCACCTCGTGCAGGAGACAGCACAGCACTGGGCAGAGYGAATGTGTGGCCCTGAGGCAGCCAGTGACTSCAGSACAGATCTGAGGGCACAGCCCAGGSCAGCTCCTGAGGAGTTGTGACKKACACTGAGCATGTGGAGCTGGGTATTATCCACACCCTGACACCAAACAGCACGGACATGCTGCCTTTTCACAGAGATGATCAATAACATCTCCATCTATTCTGGGTACTGAGAGCTGCCTCCAACATCCTGCCACAAGTGCCCATGTTGTCATGGCTGAACGAGCCCCATTGCCTGCTTTGTGTGCTCTGCTAGCACAGTTCAGGGCTCTGCAGGATCCAGGTGCATGAAAAGAGCTATTTGAATGTAAATTAATTGCCATTACAATTCTGTTTTTCTGCATTTCAGCAGAGGAGATAACTTCAGCCTTGTCACAGAGAACAAAACCTTCAAAAGTGAACTTGTCATTTCAATCTCTTCATATAATTATATTCTGAGGATTCAGACAGTTGGGTGGTTTCTGAATTATTTCTTCCCTGACGAGGATTGTTCCTGTCTTCCAAGCACAAGCAGACTATGTGCACCAGAGAGAAAAAGCCAGTCCCTCCTGCTCACATCAGCCCTGGAGCTGCCCCATTCTCTCCTGGGCCTGCCAGAACGGGAGGCCAGCACTGGCCATGGCTAATGC